GACTGATCTGCGAGTGAAACCTTGAAAGCTCGCGAGATCAGGATGGTCTCACGAGGCTAGATCCTGGATGTGTTTTATGAGAAACTTGACAACAGAAAACTAAGGTTTTATAAAAATATTTCTCTTTTTCAAAAGGTAAACAGAAGCGTGAGACTTTAAACACACCAAATCCTTAAAACCCATCAGCTGTAATTCCAAAAACGTGAAAGAAAAACGATCCACTGGAGTTCGAGGCTATTGCAGAAGCCCAATAAAGCCTTATTTTTGTTTAGAAAACATGCAAACTGAAATGGACGAACGGGTCCACCCCTTTGGAATGGGGGTCGTTTGGCTTTTTGGTTCGTTTGGTTCATCAGTTTCAATTTGCAGGTTTTCTAAACTAAAACCAGGCTTTGTTGGGCTTCTGGATAAACCTGGAACTCAACACTATTTTTGACATTTTGAATTGAAAAATCTTCCTGGATGGAAGAGAAACGTCATCAAACTTGGAAACTAAGTTTAGTGGATTGATTTTTTTTATTTTTTTGGAATGACTATGACTTGGATGGCTGAGAATCTTCACCATCATCTGTAGATAATCTTATTCTCTCGTTCACCACTGTCTTCCTGCAGTTATTAGCTGATTGAAAGCTGCCGACCCCCTGAAGACTTCAGTTATCATTTTAACTATTTAAAACAAGCAGCTGTCGCTTTGCTGCTGCATAAAAATTAGTTATAAGTGAATCCAAGGCAGCATCTGTTACTGCTGATCATCTGCCTGCCTGTGAAAGACGACTGAGCCGGCGTCAGGCTGAGGGGTGAGTGTGAGGGTGAGGAAGGAGGGTGGGGGAGTGATAATGACTTTGAAGTGTGCGCCGGGAATCCTCATGAAACCTTCATGATGCAGAACTGCTGCGATTCCCAGGCTGGCGCAGGTCAAGCATGCAGCCTTCTGCATGAATCACAATCACCTGCAGGAAGGTGAACGGCTGCGAGCTGCGACGCCGATAACAGGCGTGGATCTGTGCAACAGAGGATTCCACGCGCTCAAACGGCAGAGATGGATTTTACAGAAGCCGCAGCAGCAATCACACCTGTGCTGCTCATTGTGCTCGGCTGTCATCACAATGCTTTAAGCGAGCGCTGACTTTCATCGCCATCTTAACGCCCCGACGGATAGAAAAATCCATAAATATGGTAATTTCTCCATATTTCCTCAGAAGGAGATGAGTTTTATGGCTCTGTTACTTTCTGAGCCAACAAATGGAGTTTCTAAAAGAGGGATCTGACTCTGGCTGAGCATCAAACCTCATCGAAAAGTAATTGCTTCATACAGAAATGTGAAATAGCTGCATTAAGGTTCAGTTTCATATCTTTTCCTTTAGAGCATAAAGATTTTCAGAAACATTTTAAATGTCAGTCAGGATTTAAACATTTCAATGAAACCAGTGAGATGCTGATATCTACTGGTTCCCAACTCAAGATATTTCAGAAATTTGAATAAATTATATTTCCATTTTTTTTTTTTGTCCTCACATCCCAGAAATGCAAACTAAAGATTCAGACACTATCATCACTTTTTATTATGAATTTCTACACTGGAAAAAAAAAATCAAAATCTTTTTAAGTCATTTTTTCTAAAAATAAGTGTATTTGTTATTGGATTGAGGTAAAATAAACATCTTGCCAATGGAACAAGACAATTTAGATTTAAAATAAGAAAACCCAATTGCATTGTCTTATTTCAAACGCATATTATCTAATTATCTTATTTTAAGAGTAAAAATGCTCATTCCATTAGCAAACTATCTTATTTACCTACTCAGATTAAGGGTAAAAACACTTAATTTAAGACATTTTTCCATATTTCTAGATCATTTTTCTAGTGTAGCATTTCTCTAATTCAGATTAGATCAAATATTAAAGATATTTGTTTTAGATACAGATCCATAATCTAAACTAGTGTGAAAAAAATAAAATAAAAAATAAAAATAACTAACATTGAGGATGTGGAATGGTCTACTCAAGCCCTGACCAATCCAGGTATGGAAAACCTGAATTCAGTTCAGTTTATTTCTACACTGCAATAAATCGAAATCTAGATAATTAATTTTGTCTTAAAGTGCATTTTTTCTTGAATTGAGGAGGTAAAAGATACATTTTTCCAATGAAACAAGACAATTTACATTTAAAATAGGAAAAAAAACTATTTCATTGTTTTTTTTTCAAGTGTATATTATCTAATCATCTTATTTTAAGAGTAAAAATACTGATTCCATGGCAATTTAACTTATTTACCTACTTAAATTAAGGGTAAATACACTTAATTGAAGACATTTTGACTTATTTCTGTTTTTGCAGTGTATTGGGCCGATTCACACCACATGTTATCTCAAGTCAATTTAGAGGCAATGCAATCAAATCATCCAGAGAGATTGGTTAAAAGTTTACTATGGAAAACCAGCTGATTGCATCCAGTCGTTGACCTTCCAGGATTCGCTTCTAATACGTTTGCGGGGATTTAATGAATTTAGGGTTAATTATTAAAAAAATAAAAACAGTAAAGGCCAAATAACCAATTTACTGGTTTGTCGTAGTATCTTAATCATGCAAGAACGTTACTATAGCACAATGACCAAATCCTGGCGTTATCCAAGTCCAACTACAGAGCTGCTTTGCTCTGAAAATGTTCCCTGTGAAATAAGGTTCCTGGCAGGAAACACGGATCAGCCGGACTATGCTGCAGCTGTACCATGATGCTTCTGCACTGCTTCCACATCAGTGGAACCCTACAATAATCAACATCCCAAAATCTGTTTCTAACAACTTCAATGTTGCCTAACTCTAATTTTTAAGATTTTAATTTGGAGATACTCCATACAGTATCTCAGTGTCATAACAGACAGTGATAAGCCAGCAAAGGTCATCTCTCAACCAGCACACTGCAAAGACTGATTTTTTTCTATGATATTGATGGAAAAGTGAATCATTCTTTATTGTAAAACATTGACACAGCTGGTTCTCTCATAGCTGGTTCTCCTCCTAAGCACTTAAAGGTATAGTGGAGGATTTAGCAAATTTTTGAAAAGACCCGCCTTCTCCACAAAAACAATGCACATGCACAACCCTGTACCCGCTCCCAAGAGGGAACGCCTATTAAATGCGTGCAAGGGCGTGCACAAGTTAAAAGTTGCTGTTTGCATCACTTATACAAGCTTGCTTTCCAAAAGATTTGCAATTTTTCCTCTATGTCAGACTCACCACTGGTAAGTGAAAATGGGGACGAGCGCATACGACGGCCTCATGTAAACATATCACCAGAATGATTGACGATTAGGAGGACCACTTATTTTGATGATCCACGCTGAAAAATAACATCCTCCACTATACATTTAAGACTGCTTATTTAAGGGTCGTTATATTTTTAGTTCATACTCACCGTTTCCTCTCTTTTTGGGAGATTTGGACACTTTGCCTCGGTTGGACAATGACACTCCACTCTCACTCATGGAGTCATGCGCTGACGAAGTGCTGCCGGTTGTCTCGCTGTCGCGGATCATGCTCTCATATCCACTGCTGCCCCCGCTGTGGTAAAACAAGGCGGTGCGGCCCATGGCAGGAGGAAGCTCTCCACTGAGGATGCTGCTGTTGTCACTGCCGTGTCCACTGCTGTAACGCTGCGGTCTCCGGGGCGGTGTAATCTTGCTATAAGGTGAGGGCAGAGGCTTGTTGACGCTACTCATCCCGCAGTCCGAACTTTCACTTTCTCCAGCCCCCCTGCTGAGCTGCTTTTGACCAGCAGCGAGTTCGCTGACCCGGCTGTTAGCTGCCCTGCTGATGACCTGCTTTGTGCCCATGATGGTTCCTCTTCCTGTCTTAATTCCATTTCCAGCTCGGGCAAGAGACTTGCCAGTAGGAGGTAGGTTGGCATTGTGTACAGATGGATTTGGAGAAGAACTCAGACTTTTCGAGCTGCTCGTTGACAACGTTCGGACTTTCAATCCACCAGCACCACGGGAGTTAACATTGCCACGTAACTGCCCTAGTTTGCTGGCAGTTGAAGTGAAAGTAGATGAAGCTTGGGGGCAGGTGGGGATATTTAAAGGTGGAAGGCCTAGTTTTGGCACAGATCTGTTGGATTTGCAGCTGATCCCATTACCAGCACCATTGCTATCTCTGAACACCTCAGGCTTTAAAAGAGTGGACGTTGGACTGTCACACCTCTCAAGAGATCTCAAGCTGCCAGAGTAACTGTGAGGATCTGCTTTGGCCCCTCTTATCTTCAGACTGGATGTTCTGGCAGAATCATGATCAACTTTTAAAGCAGACATTTTGTGACTGAATGAATCAGCTCTGCGTCTGACAGTGAATTCCTCTTCTGAGGCTGAGCTTTTAGGGAAAGGAAACTTTCCATTGTTGCTTGTTTTTAAGGCACTTGGAGACCTTGTTTTTTGTTCTTGGCTTGACTGTCTGGCAAATAGAGGAGCTGAAGAGATGCTTCCAGATCCAGACTTGGAGATCATGCTGCTTTTCTGTCCATTTGCCTTTTTTCCCAGTGATGAATACCTTAACGTCCCTGTCACACCGGCAGATTCTCGATCCCATTGTACTTCAGAGCTGTGAGGAGTGGAAACAGTTCCCAAGGTTGTTGCACCTCTAGTAAGCTTTGGCAGCTTAACAAGAGTATCTCCCCTTCTGCTTGTAGACTTCTCGCAGCCATCAACAACTCTCTGAGCCGTGGAAGACCCTTGTACCTTTGGAGGGCGAGGGACACTGTTGCTGTTTCCTCCGGACCTCTTTGGGGAGATTGCAGCTATGCCACTTCTTGTTTGCTTACCTCCAGAGATGAATTCAACCTCTCTCTGATCTATAAAGTCACTTCCCTGAAACCAAAAGTCTTCCCGTCTGCTGCTGCCTAAAGCTGCAGATGAGGTAGGCTTGGTTTTCCTGGGAAGACTGGAGTGGTGGCTGTGTTGGGATATTTGCGCTGACGTTGAAGTGTTTAAGATATTAGCTCTTACCTTAGAGGGTCCTTTAGGTGTGACTTTGGGATCAGAGAAAGGAGAAGCCTTAGTAAATGATGGTTTGCTTGGTGTGGTAGGGTCACTGTCCAGCTCTGAGAAACAGATACCGCTGTCATTCAATGAGCTCTTCAGGCCATGCTGCAGAAATGGCTGTCGATGGAATATGTTCGGTGACGACAGAACGGATGCTCTATCCTCTGCTGTTCTCTCATCTCTCAAGAGAAGCCTGCTGACTGAATTGCTGTCTTGACTTTGAACGGGTTGTGATCCAGCAGATGAATGGCATTCTTGTCTGGTAACGTCATGCTGAGTTGTGTAAGCATCATACTCATCATTGATGCTACTGATGATGCTGACTGGACGAGAACCTGTAGCTAAGGACTGCAGGGAAGCCTCGGGATTGAAGCTGAGGAGGTTTGAAGGGCGGCCGTTGTCTGGGACAAGGCCAAGTGGAAGCTCCTCTATGACCGTGAACACAAGCTCGTCCTCTCCGTTCAGTTCCACAGGTTGCTGCAGTGTGATTGTGGTCCTGAGAAAGTCCCTATCCAGGCATCTACCTAACAAAGCTGCTCGAATGCCGCTGACCTCCATGGGGTAACTGGTGGTGTGATGGGGCCTCCCCATGTCCGGTAATTCCACAGGTTGACTTTGTTCTGGTGCTTGATAGCTCATACCCACAGGAGGAGTCCTGCTGAGAGCTTCCCCAGAGTCAGATGCTCTCATGGGTCTCTGGGGTAAGGACTGGGGTGACAAGGACTTGCTTACCCCTCCTCTAACTTTCTCTCTTACCACAGGCTCTGGATCAGAAGTATAAGGCTCGCTGGATGCCAACAAACATGGCTGAATGAGGGCACCAAGGAGTTTTTCCCCATCAGCACTTGTCCTTTTGGAGGATTCCAATGGGGTTCCAGGTGAAGAAAGTCCGCTCTCTCTGTGATCCGTTCCAGTTAAGTTCAGGAAGGAGTTCTTGTCAGGTCTGAGTCCAGTTTGATTCTTCTCTGCTTGTGTTGCTCTGCTCTCTGTGCTCAGTGGGTTTGGTGCTTCACTTCCATCAATGCAGTCCAGTCTCTCCTGCAGCTCTGCAAACGTGTTGCACTTAAAGTGATCTCCATCTGAACGGGGTGAATCTTTGGTTCGCTTCTTGTTCAATGAGGGAATGATGGGGACGAAAGAAGGCGGGCCCTCGTTGTCGCTTAATTCCCGGTCAGATATTGCTATTCCACCGGGTCCGACGTAAATAACAGTGTCGCATGACTGTTCACTGCTGGAGGAATAGTCAGGATCGTTGGAAAGCAGCAGCGGTGTTTCAGGGTCCAGAGCCACAATCCTGGGGTACAAAGGTTGAACATGTGGAGGTCGATGGGATGTGCCTTCCTCACACGAACTGTCACCCCCAGAGGAACTGGAGGCATACTGCAAATAATAAAACAAATGGTCAAAACAAAAGAATTGCAACCCGTGTTTAAAGCAACTGGTTTGTACTCAGGTCAGCGTCCTGCACTGGGTCTGTTACCCGTGGGTGTCCGGCGGGTACTCATGTACGGGTATATATGAACAAAATGCAGATACCATAGAGTTACAGCATGAATGGAACTTATTTGTATTTTCTTATTTAGTAACTCTACACTTTGAAAAATTAGTCGATTCAAAAATATCCAGATAACAGTGGTTTTCAAGCAGCAAGGCAAACCTTCATATTTCAACCAATTTACAGCTCTTAATTTGTGAGCGCAGTGCACACTGGATGTGTGCTTTACTGCCTCTGTTATTGCAAATGGCTGTGTGTACACTTTATGATCACGGGTCCATTCGGTCCTGGCCGGGTTTTAAATGGGGATAATTGTGGGTAATGGATCGAGTCTGGGTTCTGAACTCTATAGCTGTGAGTGGATACAGTTTTGAAAAATCTGATGAGTGCAGGACTCTGAAAGTATGGCTTGATAACAGAAGTTGGACCTGAGTGTTTCTGGATTTTACAGAAACCCAGTTCTCATATTTTTGTGTCTCATATTGGGATGCATGAAGTTATAATACAGACTATTTTTAGAGAGAGTCTGCTACTGCTGACCTCAAAAATACAGAAGAGTTTCCCTCCAATGAAGAATTAATAACATGAATTAATGCTGGGCACACACAGTGCGATATCTTTAATCGTTGCATGCAGCTAAAGCTCAAACTGTACAACGAAACCGCAGGGTTTAAAAGTTTACAGCTCACGATGTTTGTTCTCACACTGTGCTACCCGGCGCTCTGATGTGATCTACCTGCTCACACTGTACGTCCAAAATCCACATGTCGCACTCAGCACCGAGAGTTGGCGATCGTCGGAATCGTCAGTTTGAAGGAAGAAGAACTCCCTTGTTTGCACATGCGCAATGCTCGAGGTTCTGGTAAATCGGCTCGTAGCTCTGCTTCAACAGCAGGATTTGTCCATGAACACCTCAAGAGGTCTGACTGAATTTTAAACATGTTTGATTTTCTCCCGAACTTACGATCCCTGATCGGGAGGTGGTCGTGAGAGGCTGAAGGTGATCACGAATTCGTCGCACAGTTTTACCCAGGGTATACTACACAATGCGGGACACACGAGGAGGCTGAAACTCGGCCCGATCAAAAACATTCTTGCACAACTTGAGAATCGGCCCAAAAAGGGCAAAAAAAATCGTACAGTGTAAGCCCGGCTTAAGGCAAACCTGGGTGTGTTTAGTCCTCTTCTACATTTTTTTTTTAAAGCAAACGCGAATCAATTAATGTGTTCCATTTAAATATGGAGGATATCTATTTGAAAAACAGTGATGATATCACAACAATTATTTCTTAAAAGACCTTTTTACTTTAAACTGGACTTTCACCCCCCCAATGTTTCATTATCACTTCAATGTCACAAGTACAGAGCACCGAAATGAACTCTCCGCATTCAACCCATCCCCTTGGGGATGCAGTGGGCTGCCATTTTCAGCGTCTGGAGAGCAGTGAGGGGTTAAGGGTCTTGCTCAGAGACCCAGAGTGGCAGTCTGTGGGAGTGGGGCTCAAACTCAGAACCTCAGTATTCCAAGCTTTATGCCCTAACCACTAGGCTGCCACTCCCCATTCTTCTTGCTGTTGCTTTTCCTGATGAAAAGCTTTGGAAAAGATAAAAAATGTTGGTTAATACCCTGAAAAATAAAGATTTCTGCTTAGAGCTGCAGTCGCAGATTATTTATCCAAGTTAGAACATGTAATAATGCACAGAGCTCCTAACCACATGATGATACCCGTTATACAGTAGATGAGAAAAACATCCATGGCTAATTTCTGAGTTAAAAAAAAGGACACTACATTTTGACGAATAACTAAAATGAAGGTTATGTTGTTTTTTATCAGCTATATTTTTAAAAGTACATTTAAAATGCTACCGATTGCCTACAGAAGAATCGTCCTCTAAAACCTGAGTTCTGTCCTGTTGGGAAAATGGGGATTATAAAAAGCATTACAGCAGTGGGCGGGGCACCTCGCAATTTGACTATGGCTACCAACAAATTTGGTTGTTGATTAAACTCCCATTGGAGAAGTTGGTATAGTTATTAGTGATTTATATACGAGTACAATTTAGGAAAGGATGTTTTTCCAAAGAGGGACTAAAAACAGGCCTTTAATTTGGGTAAGAGCTGGAAATTAGATTCAGTCTAAAAAATGTATTTTGTACAGGAGAGAAATAATTTCTATTTGCTTATATAAAAGACAAAAAACTTAATAATAATCAATATTAAACCAGGAGAAGGAACAATAATAATAATTGAACATTATTGATCACATTGGAGAAATTTTTCTCTGCATTTAACCCCTCCCCTTGGGGAGCAGTTGGCTGCCATTGTACGGCGCCCAGGGGCAACCACTTGGCCGCCACTCCCAAAGCGTGGTGTCACTGTGTTTATTAATATATAAGAGAATCAATTTCTCGTTATTGGTTGTTTTTTTTTAAATAAACCGACAGAAGAAAAGAAGCTGAATAAAAAATGAAGTACTTTGGATTTCTTCTTCCTCATGCGGTGGATGCGGGACGCCAGCTGCACCGTGGTCAGCGTCTCCATGTAGTTTGCCGGTAAGTCGGAGATGTGGGCGATCATGGTGGTTCTACAGTTGATGTTACCCAGAGACTCGCTGAGCAGCATGGTGAGCTTGCTGTCCCTGAATAATAGATCAAGAAAAGCCTCGTTAGACCCAGGGAAAGGGGAAAAGACGCTTCGTGGGCCCCAGAAAACCCCACAGGACCCCAGAGACCGTTCATTACTCTGTGCAACGTTTGGAGTCAGTCGGGCAAAAAGAAGAACTCTCATCTGACATTCATAAAGCGCACTTTGAACTAAACGCCACATGCAATCTCTTACATGACGTACAGTATGAAGCTCTGCCTTTGAAGAGACCTGGAGTAAAGCTGGATGAGATTTACATCCTACAGTCGATGCTTTTTATTTAACCCAGAGAACAAAGCTGGAAATGTCATGATTTTAGACGTATATATCTATTATTCTGTGCTATGATCAAATATTCACTTATTTCAGCTACAGGTACACTATATTACCACAATCCCATTTCAATTCTAGGAATCAGCGGTTCCAATCACTCCATGGTGTATAAAATCAATCCCCTAAGCATGGAGTCTGTGGGAAGGAATGGGTTGCTATCAGGAGCTCAGTCAATTCCAGCATAGAACTGTGATAGGAGCCAACTTAAATTAAATACTCCACAGTCAGCTGGATCATTAGAAAATGGAAATGTTTGTGAACGACAGCAAATCTGCCAGGAAGTGACAGAGCAGGGTCAGCAATAAAATGGCTACAGACCTCCAAACTTCATGCACTCTTCAGATTAGATCAAGACCAAAGAGCGGCGGGCTTCATGGAATGGGCTTCCATGGTCAGCAGCTGCATCCAAGCAGTACATTAGCAAGTGCAAAGCAAAGCGTTGGATTCTCTGGAGTGACGAATCGCTCTTCATCTGGAAAAATGATGAACCACTTTGGGCAGAAGAGCAGCTCTTGTCTGATTGCACAATTTGACAAGTAAAAAGTTTGGTGGAGGGGACGTCATGGTCCCCATGACCTCAGCTTTGTGGGAAAAGTTCGCATGGATGGATGGATGGATGGATGGATGGATGGATGATGGATGGATGAT